CCCCAAAACCCCAAAACCCCAAAACCCCAAAACCCCAAAACCCCAAAACCCCGAGGCATTATTCTAAGAATGAAGCATGAATTTAACTATAAGAGATAACATTTTTTCCACTCATTTCATAAAGCTCTTCTGTGGTTTAGCTTCTATTAAAAAGTTTCGCACAAGAGAGGCATCATAAATGAGGTACTTTCGCTGACCTCGATGTTAGATTATGGTAAAATACCAAAATCTGACCAAATTTGACCGTTGGTAGGACAAGAATATGAACAAAGAAAATATGCTTTCAGTGAAGCAAAGGCACTACTTGGCCTCTCTATTGGGAGCCCAGTGATTATATCCCTCTTTGGGGGTAATACCTGCAACTATGATAGTATGGCCGAGCGGTTAAGGCGTTTGACTCGAAATCAAATGGGATTTTCCCGCGCAGGTTCGAATCCTGCTGCTGTCGTTTTTATTTTTTGAAAGTTTTACACTTCTCTTGATCCCTTCGATGGTTCGAATCTTTTAATACAGCTTGTTTTATACAACTGGGTTTTGAGACACTATAGAGCTGGGATGCAAGCCAGAATGCTCAAACCATGCTCTAGAGTTATAGATAGGAGTTTTAGAGGAAGAAGGATAGCAGAAGCTGCTAGAGTGTGAGAGGATAAGAGTGTCTGTCATATCTGAATCAGCTGGGTTTTTGTTGATCCAATTTTTTATAAGTTTAGGATGAATTTGTCTAACTTGATGGCGGAATTAGCGAGTGAGGTTGGGTTATTTTGGTTGTGCTTTTAGGGTGATTAGACTAGAGAAATTCATATATCTTGCTCATCAGGATAATCTAATAATCGAGTTATGTTGTAATGAAATAGAAATATTTGATCGTTTTGGTAACATTTCTTGGCAAAGAATATATCACTCATTCACATGATTTAGCTCTAGAAAGCTTTCTTCCTAAAGGCTAAAGAGCTTTGAATACAAATATTGCTTCAGACTCCTTGGAATTAGCGTGTTGACTCATAAGTTATGCCGAAGTGAATATCAGAATGATCAAAGAAGCCTTTATTTTCTATTACCTAAATTTATCTAAATATTCATTTGTTCGAGTCTTCTATCTTATAGTATGCATAAGAGAACTACCAATCCTAAGTTTCATGTCTTTCGTGCATAAAAAGCACCTTTGCCAATTTGAAGAGCTTGGAAATAATCCAATTATATAAGTATTAAATGTGACAAATTTTCTTACTTTACAAGATCCTATACTAGAGATAATATACATTTAATTCTATACCTCAAGAGCCTTCTTTCAAAAATTCCAACTTAATTACATATGTATCATGCCAAATAATAATTATTTACAATGAAGCTTAATAAAAGAGGGGTTTTGGGGTTTTGGGGTTTTGGGGTTTTGGGG